CCCCAAAACCCCAAAACCCCAAAACCCCAAAACCCCAAAACCCCAAAACCCCAAAACCCCTCTCCACACACAAAAATAGAAAATACAGTCAGTACAAAATTCCACCTAATTTCCTTCCAACAGTTATGTTATAAATAAGTCTTGTTCAGTACAGAAGTGGCTTTAAAAGTGAAAAATCTAAAAATTGCCAAAACTAGGCTTAGGGTTAGGAATTAGGGCTTTTAGAGGTGTTTTGAGTGGTTTTTTGTGGGGTTTTGGTATGGAGGGGGGAGATGCTAGGATGGCGAAGTTGGCTAGAGGATTAGGGAAGAGATTTACATGAATTCATGGGTTGAAGCGGGGTTGGTAGTCCTTCGGAAAGGTTTTTTGAAATTTCTGATGAATGTAGTTGGTTGTTTAATGAGAGTATGACGGTTTTGTAATCTCTTCATTTCGAGTTTTTGCTTTTTCTCTCGGACTACTTGGAGTGCATGGTGACTTAATTTTCCAGGGATAATTTTCATATTTTTATTTCTTCATCCGAACTGGGTTTGAAATTTGGGCTTGTATCTTTGCTTTCTCTGGGTTCTCCTCCGTGTACTTCTTCTTAGGAAAGTGAATAATTCTTTGACGAGGAATTTTTCTATCTATTTTTCCAATGAGACCTTTCAGTCTTCTTTCTGGCTTCTCTTCTTCCTCTTCAGATATCTATGGAATTAGTAATCTTAAATTTTCAAAGAAATAGAAAACTTGGAATATCAAAGGAATACTGGAATTCAGAGATTTGTACTAATATTATTGCAGTTTCTAGTGAAGAGATAAGACTTTGCAATATTTATAGGGTAGCAATAAGGAATTTGAAGCAAGAAATTTATTACCCTCTTAAACACTCCAATGCTCTCCATCACTCTTCTTAAATATTTGCAACTTGAAACAAAATTCTCAGAGAAATATTAGAATCTAAGAAATTAGCTAATAGGAGAAATTTTTGAAATATTCCTCTCTCGCAGTAGCTTCCTAAGTGACTTGTCAAAACTCTAAATTAAGCCAACAGTTTATTCTTTTTAACACTCAAATATAGAACTAACAAAAGACGGAGAAAGAGCAGGTATTTCTCACTAAACCAGCTCATTTCTATTAAACTTCTCTATAATCCGTCTTAACAATGTCAAACTTTGAGCCAAAAAGTTCTAGGTTCATAAAATACTACCCCGCTGGGAGATATACATAAGAACGAGGCTATATGGGAATGCGTATGCATACTCAGCTATGTAAGGTTTTATCAAATAAAAGAGCTTATTTAGAAGAAAGTTAGACCCCCTGAATAGTATTTTAATGTCGTTTCTGAGTTGGGGTTTCAGAAGGATCCTTGTAGGGAAAAGTAGTGGTTTAGAGATGAGTTTGTTGATGAAGGGGTGGATTTTGGTAGAGATTTGGGGATTATTTAGGGATTGGAGAAAAGTAAGGGAAGATGGGGGTTTAGGAGTATTTGGATGAAGGATTTTGAAATAGAAACGGATTTGAAGCAAAATGAGTATAAATACGTAATTATTAGATTTGATTAGCTCGTATTTAAGGGTTTATATATTATATTTTTGTATCTGAAATAACTATAAAAAGGTAAATATAAAAGTGAGGGTCAGAAATAACGCAGATATATTACATAAAAATTATCTTTGTTGCACATAAACAACAATGCCACTTAAAATTTGATGAGCCTAACGAATCAAAATATACGACCTGTCGGAATTCACTTATTACAAATTTTCCTAAAACTTTGCTTATTCTTCCTAATTTCTATCTTCTAGGAACATCTAGGTCTTTATATTATATTTTCCTCTTTAATTATAGTCGACATTAATCTAAAAATAGATTCTAAGGAACTAGTACTGTTCATTCTTTATTAAAGAATTAAGCAAGAACAACTGCCAACATATTTTGCAGGGGAAATTAGGCTGAAAATCGGTTCATGAAAGGATTCTAGCTTAGAGAAAACAGCTGCAAACCTACAGAATCGACCATTCTCTTTCTTTCTTTAATAATCTGGTAGAGGTCACTTTGGCTCATCAACTTAGTATCTCTCTTGTGTCTGCTATTGTCGAGATTTGATGTCCTACTGTAGATGTGAGAAGAAAATAATTACACAGCTGTTGATCTGCTTTCTTGGGAACTACTATCATTCTCCCTCTCTAAGGTCGGTACCCTTAGAAGACGCCCATCCTCGTTATTTGGAAGCCCTTGGTTGAGAAATAAGGGAGAATTAGGATGACTAGAGGTCTTCGAGATGGATAAAGAGTACTGCCGAGGGTACAATCCATGAGGCTTTGAAACTGTCTCTGAAAATATCTTCTATAATAGAAACAGTGTTAAGGAAGTAATTTAAAGGATTCGCATACCAGGCCATTGTTGTTTCTCTTCCGATACATTTCTGATTTCTTAATCATCTTTTGGGTAAGATCACTTTGAGTTTTAACTTCTGAACTGAAATTATCTAATAGAGATTCTTTATGTGCCAATAATGGGCTCCCCTTTGGAGAAGAGTCTAGAACAGTAGGAGTAAATTTATTTTCACCTAGAAATAGTCCTATTTTCGAATGTGACTTAGTTCCTCTCCGTCGATCCATGTGGTACTCATTTTTACTGTCTCTCCCACCATCTTTTGCAACATAAGTATTTAATTTAGTCAGACTCGACATGCGTGGCACTTTTTGTTCTGTACTTCTGCTATGGATCATTGGGAAAGCCAGAGTCGATGCTGATTCGCTCTTGGTTCGAAGATGAGAATTCCTTGTAATAGACCATTTGTCAAATGCTTTCTCAGCATTTTTCAATTTTTCAGAAAAATTCTTTGAAAGCCTTGCCTTTGTTTTAAAAGTACTGAAGTTGTCCTTATGCAGATTTAGAGGAGTTATTTTATTATTTCTGGGAATTTTAAAAGATTCAGATTTGTTTGAATCTTCATTATTTGAAGAAGTCTCAATTTGAGGATGCTTTGGGGGTTTAAACGAATTTTGTAATAAATTTCTCTTATTCTTATCGAGAGATGGCAATGAAGATCCAAACTCTGTATACCTCTTCCCGAAAGTATCTAGTCCAAGAGGAGTCACATTTGAACTCTGGGACATCTTGAGCACGTATTGAAAGGCTGGTGAGTATCCAACGTCACTAGACTTCATAATTTACTTTGCAATAAGTTATATAAAAATTATTCTATTAGGAACTATGAATGGGGTTTTGGGGTTTTGGGGTTTTGGGG